CTGAACAACGTTATGAATCATTTAGAGCTGTGTTTGTGTCCATACTGTGATTGTAAATATAATATTCACTCTCTTTACTGTAAGATCTGTTCTGCCTCTTGAGGGAAATATCTGACTCATTAGCTACTTTATGCTAACAGAGCTTACAAGTCACAGTCGTAGTTCACTTTGTCAATCTGCTGTTTAAAGCTGAGAAGGTAGTGTTAGGGTTTGTTATGTTCTTTCCAGATTAAACAATGACTGCTGATTTGGTTGAAAAGGAGGCTAGAGAGAGTGAACTCAAGCAGTAACATTGAAGTACAGACGCCTAGCTAACCATTAGCTTAAACTCAGAATGAAGATCCAAAAGCGGAGGGGAGCAAGGAAATGTGTTAATAATTGCCTCCCGGTTGATCAATTTGTTCATGAATTATTGTTTGATACATTTAACTGTATTAAACTGTTATTTTTTGATAGGTGTAATTTTGGTGGGTGTTGGACGATGGATAGATAGACAGACAGACAGACAGATAGATAGACAGACAGACAGACAGATAGACAGACAGATAGATAGCATACATAATAATTACACACATAAATGGTTACTATAAAAATACGATCCTAACCCATCCATAAGGGTCAAACATAATTTGTTGTGTTGTGGAATGGGGTCATGACCCCTCACGGTCAGGGGGGTCAAATCAAACACCGAGCACAAAAAGGTCATTAAAGACACAGAGAGTCCTGATGTTGGGGGAGCTGAACGGGGAGCGCTGTTAACCCCTTCCCCTGCCTCTGTGCACAAAATGAGAGGAAGCAATGAGAGAGGAAATGTAGTGGAGGAGAAGAGATGAGAGGTCATATTATTGTAGCATAGCAACCCAGGTTTCAGTGTGGGTTGAGGCGAGCAATAATATATAATATTGCTGAGAGGTTAGACAGCTTAGAAGAACCTTTCAAGATGGATGTGGAAAGAGAGGTGCACTTTCTGCACAAGAGAGGGGGAGGGACGGCATGAGAGGGGGTGGGGGTGAACAGAGTCGTAGAAAAAAAAAAATAGCCCAATCCTCCCATCTCCATCCACTCCCTTCTTCTCTCTCTCTCTCTTTCTTTCCCTCCCTCTCTCTCTCCGCTCTGTGCATCATTAAAACAAGCAGAGTAGTGTTCAGAGTGTGGGGCTGCGCTGAGACGGTGACCTCCACAATAAGAAGATGTTCTTGCTTCAGGGAAGAGAAGGTTGTTTTGTACTCCTCTCTCTCTCTCTCTCTCTCTCTCTCTCCCTCATGCTCTCTCTCCCTCTCTCTTTCTCCTACTACTACCAATGGAGTAAATGAGATTTGGAGGGGATGAGGATTGGGGGGGGGGGAGGCTCTCAGGAAAGAAGAGGAAGGGATCAAGAGGGCAGACATGCAGGAAAAGAGACGGAGATAGCGAGAGAGGGCAGTTTAATGTAGGATTCATAACTCAGGGAGCTCAGATATGATAAACAGGGGAAGATCTGAATTGCCCTCAAGTAAAGTAGCTTGGAGGGTCAGAGTGAGGCAGACGAGGGCTGAAACCTCACAAAATCCAGGCCACGAAAAGCCTGAATAAGAGGCTGCCTATTTTTCCGTGGCAAGGAAGGATCCATATGCCCTGAACTTGGGGGAAATACATGTGTTTTCTCATCGCACATAGATGGACACAGTGAGGTCAGCCAGAAGTCGTCCTTATCAAGAAAAACCATTACTTGAGGGACGGCGAGTGTTCTATCTGCATCCTTGTCCAGACGCATCGCTCCATCATATACATACAATAGGCACACACAGGCTGTGCCTCTGTGGAGAGCACAGGAAGTCCTATGGGTGACACAAGGACACACAGCGGTGTGAATACCCTGAGCACCCCCATGTACACAGGAATAAAATGTGTGGGCAGCGAGCACAAACACATCCTCTGTATCCTCCAGATGATTTTACATCCTCCAAATCCAATCACCCCGATTCATTCTGCTTCTCCTGGTGTCATTCTTCATTGGAATTCATTCATTAACACTTTCTTTGAGAAATCCGCACACTCTTTGGCTGCCTTTACTCCTGTCTTACTTCTTTCCCTCCCTTCTTTCCTCTTTGCCCTCAAACCTTTCCATCCTCCATCATACTTTCCCCATACTCCTTATTTGCTCTTTCTCTCCGAGGGAGGACTGTTTTTAAAAAGGTCTTGTCGGTTCCCAATACTGATTTGAGTATCACTAAGCTGCACCTTCACACATATTGTTGCCTCACACCTTGTGCCAAATATTCCTTTGTATATCCTTCCCCCATCCCCTGCCTGCACCTGGTAGAGATAGTGTTCTTTCAGCTACAGGCGCTGCTTTCTATACAAGCCGGGCTAGGATGGCACAGGCAGCACACAGCTGTTCCCCTTGGTAAATTGATAGTGAAGGGTAGTGGATGGGGCTTTGAAAGCACCTTGTGCTATTTTTATGACAGTTGTAGATTTTTCTTTTTTTTTTTTGGTGTTTAATTCAATGTGACCAATTACGCCGCTGCGTTCCTCAGCAGGGGGGGAGGCTCTGGGAGAGCAATTTATTCTTTGACTTGAAGAAGTTTTCCTAAAGTGCGTTAAAATATCATGTTCTTTTGTTACGGTTCAAACGCAAGCTGTCACAAACAGAATCCTGGTCTCACTCTCTGTACTGAGCAGAATGTCTCTCTTTTTTCCCCTGTTTTTTTTTTTTTGTGACAAACTTTAAAGTGAAAACAGCATTCCTACATTCATTTTCCAAAAGTTAAATAGGAGGGGCAAAAGCAGAATAGAGAAGAAGAGTGAGTGTCCCAATGGGTAAGCAGCAATTCACTCTCATGCGCTGACCCCCTCCTCAATGCAAACACACAACACACTCATCACCTTGTGTTTCAAGGACTCTTTAGGAACACAAGTGCCACACACAAACACACACACAGAGGCACAAAACCACAGTCGCACAGAATCCTCGATTTCCCCCCTCACAGAGCTAGCCTCCCTCCTGAGTGAATTGCTGTGATGAGTGTTCCTGGGGCTGAATACATGTGTAAGTGGCCTAATGATGCCTAAACCTATCCATGACCAAACCGAGGAGGAGAGGGAGAGGGGGAGAAGAGGGGAGAGGTGGGGTGAGGAGGTGGCGGGAGGAGAGGGGGGCCCTGGGTCATGCTTGTCGTGTCAGGCGGATTGGAAGGCCACATTGGCGTGTGGGAGCACAGCTTTGAGTAAAGCAGCTTGTTTCAGGCAGGGATTGTGTTTGCGGTCTCTACTCTGAGAGAGGCAGTGTGAGAGAGCGTGTGTGTGTGCGGCAGAGAGAGAGGGAGAGGGAGAGAGACAGAGAGAAAGATAGAGAGAGAGCGAGAGAGATTCTGCGCCTGGGCATTACAGACATACAGCCTTAATCCACATGGCCTGACATTCTCTGTTATCCGGCCCTCAGCAGCCAACTACCCAGACTGATGGAGGCACAGAGCTCCCCCCCCCACCCCACCCCCCGCTGTGTGGCCTGACAGCGCCCTCCCTTTATACACATACGATCACACACACTACGTGTTTCATTGTGCTACACAGCTCTCTTCCCCATAAACTTCTCCCACTTCCTCAAACCTGCAATGATTCCTGTTCACCGGATTGATACTTTCATTTCCTGAGAAACGTTCACACACAGAGCAGGACTACATTTCATCATACAGCAACATTTTGTGTCACTTTAGAAATGGATGCTCATAATTGTACATTGAAAGGTATTGACATGCATGAACAAATTTTTGGTTTACACAGGCCTACAGTTCTAGACTGAGAGAAAATGAATTATCTAATGATGCACGTATAGGAGAGGTTTTTAGTACTTTCTCTGCTAAATGTCACAAGGAAAAAATGTACTTATTTACTTATTACACTTACAGAGACTGAAATAAATGTTTTTTTAAATATTTCCGTTGAATGTTAAAAACAAATTTGTGTAGCAGGCCTTTTTTTTTCTTGAAAACTAGCCTGAACAATGTTTGAAAAAATAATTAAAACGAGCTACAAAACTGTCGTTAAAACATCTACAAAAAAAGCAAGTCAACTTACTAATGGTGTCATATACAAACGGAGACCTCTTTCCCCTTAAGAAGAAGACTTTAAAAGAAGGATCTTAAAGTATATGCTGCTGATTATACTTTAAATGATGGCTGCAGGGCTTTTATTTGTACATTTTAAAAGTTGAAAATAATGTTATGCAAGAGTACTTCTTCTAACTGAGAATTCAGCTAAAAATGTTGATCCTGGTTCTTATTCTAAACTGGTATACATTAACTCCAGAAAGTTGCACTGTACCATTATCTATATGACACACCACTTCCCACTTTTTTCTTACCGTTTGTCCCTCGTGGGCATTTCAACAAGTTTCTCCCCCTTATTATAAAAAAAAACCCTCCCTGATATGAGAAAGGGAGAGGTCAGGCTTTGGTGGAATTACCCCAGAGTTTTTTCACAAAAAAAACTGCCCTGCATTCTGCAACATCACATTGTTGTCAAGGGTGTTTTCCAGCCACAGAGTGTCAAACTGTGAATGTCAGACTTTCTTTTACGTGTGTGTTACTGTTTGGTGTTTTCCTGATGTTGCCACAAGAGGGGGTAAGTTACAGTAAACCCCTGGTCCTTACTGGGCCCTATGGCAACAGACGCACAATCCAGAAGCCCCATAAACCACACAGAGCCCTCATGGCCCTCCAGCTTAAATCAGGACAGTAGTCATTATTTTATATTCCCATATCTTATAAATATAATTATTATACCAACTATTATGAATTGTTCCATGCAAAATTTTCCAGAGTGTTTCTGATAAGGGCTGGACTCGTCCGTATGAGATGGATACGCACGGTGTGTGCGTTCACGTTGTCTCATTTCCTGACTCTGCCCGTAGAGAGCGAGAGAGAGAGAGAGAGAGAGCGAGAGAGAGAGAGCGAGAGAGAGAGAGAGAGAGAGAGGAGATACGGGGACACGGAGCGAGAGAGTGTGTAGGGGGAGAGTGAGATAGAGAGAGACGAAGAGAGAGAGAGACATAGACATGCACAGTGGAGGAGGAGGACGAGGAGGAGGGGGAGGCTCCTGATACCAAGACACGGAAAAGCAGGGGAGGGAAAGAGAGAAAGAAAAAAGGGGCTGTTGGAGGAAGAAGAGGAGCGGGGAGTGGGAGAAAACAGGGGGAAAAACACACTTAAAGAAAGCATAGAGAAGAGAAGAAGGACAGTACCTGGTGCTTTGGACATCCCCCTCCTTTCTTCACTTGGGCTGTCACAAGCAGATTGGACTCCGAAGGACCGACACCGCGTCCACCCCAGACCCCATGGGGTAACAGGTAGGCTACGTCTGACTTCCTTGTGTTATCAGCGTTTAGCCCCGCTTTCACGCGAACAGGTTTCATTCAGGAGGCGGCGTGTACCGCACGGTTTCCACGCGTTTTATATCATGACAACAATTAGTTTGGATGCCTCGCGGAGCCATTAGTTGGTGGTCGCACAGGTTGGAGACATATCACAAAAGCAACTCGTGCCACTGTTATTTATGTCCATTGGTAAAGCTTCTGTACACAGGCCTGTCTGTCTGTTTAATTTGTAAATCCTGGTCTATTGGCATCATGTTAGCCACGGCGTGACTGTATTTTGACAGCTAAATAGCCGAGCGAGTGAGCAGGCGACAGTCTCAAAGTCCGCCTACCTGTTCCATACGTGACAGCCAGCTGTCTGTTGCGCGTGCTGATCTTGGGAGAAGCTGTCATTCGCACGTTGTGTTTTTCACACATTATAGAGCACAGACACTTGTCTTATAATGAAGAAAATGCTACTTTATACTATGTGTCAGTGCATGTGTTTAAAACCACGTAACCAAAGTGCCCTAAAATTGAATTGCCGTGAACAGCGCCGAAGTCTGCAGACTACTATTTCGAGTTAAAAGCCTATCTATACCTTAGCCTAATAAAAAAAAAAAAAAAAAAATGTCTCTTCACAATTTTAGAAATTGCCTGTCTATTAAAATAAGCCACGGTATTAAGACAAATTAAGGTTTCACTCAAGTGACACAGTTAAGAGAAAACAAGTTCATCCTAGTAAATTCTGCAAAGTTTTGAACAGCATGACAACCTTATTGCCACATCTGCTGCTGTGTTGGGGGGGGGGGGGGAATCATGCACAGACAGATATCGTGCCACTTAAAACACGAGTAATGCTCTTCCGTGCAGCCGTCTGGAGGGGATTCAAAATGAAAGCGCTCACAGCCTTCAAGACCAGTGCTTAAACCCCCCTCCTCCTCCTTCTCCCCTCGATTAACCTCAAAAAAGGGGGATTTCTCCAGCTGGAAAATTCTGCTGCGTCAACACCCAACCCTAGAGTACCACCACCAGAGAAGAAGACAAGAGCTGGGGGGGGGGGGGGGGGGGTGGGATTGGTTTACAGATGGGGCTCTAGGGTGATTTTTGTCGCCGCTGATCATCATTGAGAGTTGACAAGTGTGGCGTCAAGTGTTCGCTGTTTATTGGCGACTGAAGCTGGAAGCGTCTACTCTTCTTCGCCTTCTCTGTCTATCTCCTGTAGAGCTGCTTGTGTCTGTCTGTGTGTGTGTGTGTGTGTGTGTGTGTGTGTGTGAGCGCGTGTGTGTGTGTGTGTGTGTGTGTGTCTACTGTCTGTGTCTGCCCTCTGAAACCGGTCAGTTCCGTCTTCCTCCATTTTCTACCATGCTTTACCATGTAAGAGGGGGAATCCACTTCATACCCTACAGGCTATCTGTATGGAGACATCAGCTTTCTGTCGCCTGCAGCCAGGTGTGTAAGCAAAGATGTTAAAGTGACAGAGATTTGACTGGTGTCAAACTGAATCGTGATGATGTTTACCCACATCCTTCCAAACTTTTAGATATGAGACAAACTTTTCTTTTTAAAGGTTTTTAAGTGACACACTCTTGCCACATGATGCTGATCATTTATGTTAAAGTTATGGTATCAGCTGCCACAATGTTTAAGCTTACAGTTGGTATTCTGTCAAAGTAAGTTTGTGTGTAAGAATTTTAGTTTTAATTTGAGATAACGTACTAACAACACCAACAAGCCATGTCTGGCTCTGCTTTAAAGCACCCTCTTGGTTTTTGGCTTGTATAGTTACATCCAATTAGGTCACAGTATTTCCCTGTGTTTGACAATGGCTAACTGGATCTCTAGGATTAAGAGCCCATACTGATTTTTCCAAATTGTCTTAGGCCTCCCTGGATTTGTGTAGTTCTTTTGACCTTGCTAATAGCAATGGAGTTAAGGGTTGGCTCTTGATGATAAGTCCTCCAAAGTCTTTTATTCAGTTATTCAATTACTGCAGATCGGTGTGCATGTGGATCCTTCTGTACACATTATGTCATCCCGGGCATAAGATAGCATTTCTTTTTCTTTTTCTTTTTTTAGCTTTAAAACTATAATTAACTTTCTTTAAACACCTTGACATCATGGTATGGTTTATTTCCCAGAATTCTTTGTGTCTGAGCTGAGCGATGCTTATTGCCTCATTGGGGTTGCTTATAGGGGCTATGTAAGTAAAACCATTACTGTAGAGAAGCAGTGGACATGTGTGTGTGCGTGTGTGTGTGTGTGTGTGTGCGCGCACGTGCACCTTCTCCATCTGTGTGTTCCACGGGGAAAATAAAATACAGACCAAGACAACAGCTATGAGGATGAGTGGAGGAGTAGTGTAGGCGAAGATGTCCGGTAGTTGGAAAAATATTAGTAGCATGTGTGCTTGTGAGGATTTAAAGCCCTTGTGCACTTGTGTTCCCTCTCATGAATGGAATTTAAGAATTGATTAAACACAAATAGAGAGTTTAATTCATCTTTCTGTTTTGAAGCTAAGTTGTGTTTTTGTTAAAGGAGGTCACTATAAATTAACCACAGGCTGTTGCAGGGTTTAAAGATGTCATACGAAAGGTGTGTCAGGGTGTGAATAGAGGGGGAGAAAACAAGACTTAGAGGTTTGGTTTGGTCAGTAGTCAGGTTTGAAGCTTGTGACACTTGCGTTTTAGCTTTGTGTGTGTGTGTGTGTGTGTGTGGGTGTGTGCGTGTGTGTTAGCCTGCTGGTATGTAGGTGGTGATCGGTGCGCCCATGCAGGTTGTGGGCTGAACTGTGTGGTCGAAGTTTAGTCTGTTTCAGCTGAGCACACCCAGGAGAAGTAGCACACAACCCCCGCAAAAACATATACGTGTTTGTTTGTGTTTTTAAGACAACATAATCAATGAAAAAAGGCAAGCCTGCGCGCTTACTCCATGCCGCAGAAAAATATCAATTCAGCTTGGATCTTTGTCAGATGATTGTTTCAAAAGTTGAGATGGATAAACGTTGTTATAGAAGCCAGAGACACGATCTCTGTACATAAATGTATATTCTTCCTCTTTCTGTCCTTTTTGCTCTGTTTGAGGTGATGGAGATTGCTAGATGCATTTTTATACAATGTCTTAACTTATAGTGTCGATGAATGGCTTTTGTGATGCTGTTTACATTGATGGGTTTAAATCAGCCCTATTCAGTTGACAGCTTGTGGGCCATCTCTTAAACCTATTAAAAACCTCAAGCCAGCTCTTCAGTAATTTATAATAAATTACAAATACATAGGTAAAAATGAAATACTTAACTTAAACAAACATTTTCCTTACAAATATAGCACAGACATGCCTTTTTTTTTTTTTTAGGTTAGGCTCTTTAAGCAGCGACCTTAAGTTCATACAGGAGAGTAAAACTGAATGAAAACATTTTTTTATACGCAACATTGTGTTTATTACAACACATACCTTGTCTTTTAAGATTAAAAGGCACATATTTCACTTATTTAATCCTTCGCCTGATAGGACATAAATTGAAAACCCCTTGGCACCTCTATTTTTTAATATCCCAACAGGTATGGTTTAGATAGTTTAACACACTGTTTGTGCGCAACATGTTCAAAAATTGGTGTACTTTCCTTTTTTCCAAAATTTTATTTGGAGAGGATTCAGAATTATTTAAAAAAACAAACACATATATTATTCCCCTCGACCAGTACTGATGAGATGTGCAAATAATAACTCTACTTAAAAAATGGAGACAACCTGACAATAAACTGTACTCTACCCTCACCTAATCTTGTGTACTTTCCAGAAATGGATAAAAGAGGTTGCTAGTGGCATTGTACTCCATTCATCTCTGTGTGTGTGTGTCTCTCTCTCTCCCTGCCAGTTTCCTGGTCCTGATCCCCCCTCAGAGCTCACTTGTTAATGGGAACACCTGTTTGGCTAACACGCTGAAAAATGAACCATTTACACTCACATGTACACATCTCACATGACATCTCTCTCCGGAGTTTTCTGACAACTCTGTCTTCACATCTTGAATATTATCATTCTCACGTCTGACTCTGTGACAACACACTTTATCATCCACACACATTAACCCCCCCCCCGCATCTAAAACCGCCCCCATCCCCCATCGTCTCCCATCCCCTAATAACTCCCAAGGCCTTTAAGCCTAACTGCTTCTATAGCACATTGTGCAGCGCTGAATACAGGTGTTCTTAATCCTCATGGGGTTACACGGATGCTGTGGGGGATGTGTGTGTGTTGGTGTGTTTGTGTGTAACAGCTGTCTTCCCTATCCACCTATCTGCTCATCCTTCCCCCAGCACAGAGAACAGGTGAGCTAAGGCCATCCCAACTCTACAAAAACACACACAGCCCCACTTGTCTTTTCACATAGGTGTTAATATTTGATAGTGTTGTGTATTTGTGTGTGTGGGAGTGTGTGCGCTATATAGGATGTCAATGAAAGCAATGAGCTCTCCTGTTCTCTTCTTTTATTCCTTACTCCCTGAATTCAAAATTCAGGAGTCAGTTTGCAGCTTTATCTCTAATTTTTGTAAACAAGGAGTAAAAAATTGAAAGACCAGATGCTAAAAATTATCTTTGTATTGCTGCTAAAAATAAATGAAAAAAAAAGGGGGGGGGGGGGGGCTTGCGCACCAAAAATAGCAATATGTCAGAGTTTTTCTTTGGAGTTGTTGTTATTGCAAAACACCTTTTGGATCACACATTCCTGAGCAAACAGATGAGGGATCTCAGTTTGTGTGCTGTCATCAGGGTGTGTTTTTCCTTTTATTTAGGAATGCGAAGCAGATCGGCTCCTTCCAAGCAAAGCCTCATGATCACACAATGCTTACCAGCATCATGAGATATTTGTAGGAATATATGTCATTCTCTGACATCATATATCAATTTCATCAATGTCACCAAAGTCAGGGCCGGTTAGAATAAATCCTCCTTCCCTTCTTCTTCAATCGTAACTGTTGGCTTCATGTGCT